GAACACTGGGAACAATAGAAGCAGAGGGGATGACTGGTACAAAGTAGTATGGGCACCACGCTCGTATTGGATTGTATATTATTATTGTATGATCATAGCCGGGGGGGAAGGGGTGTTATGTCTTGAGCCTGGGCAGGTGCAAGCTGCCCAGGACCAGACTGGTTGTCGCCAGTGCTCGCGCGCATGCGCGGGTGCTGGTGCACCAAATGTTGCAATTTGGCCCGGGAATCGCCTATAAAAGAGGCAGGGAGATTTGGGCGTTGTTGGCGTCTTGTAACCAGTATGCTGAACAGAAATAAAGAGTTCCTGAGAACTACAACTGCTTCTCGTGTCATTGCCATTTCGCGAAGGACTTAACATCTTCCTTTGCAAAAAGTCTCTGCTGCAAGTCTCTGTTCCTAAGCCCACATGCAAATCAGTCTCTCAACCTTTCTTCTAAGTCTTTAAACTCACAAGGCTTAGCTGCTCTTCTCAAAGCTGCAATGTATTCTTTAGCCGATTCACCAGCTCATTGATCCCTCTGTTCAAAAGTATGTCTCCATGCAATAACAGACAAGTTGGGCTGAAAATGTTCCTTCAGTAATTTTTTTAAATCTGTGTAAGTGACAGATTCAAGAGGCGCAGGGGCTGCTAGATTTTCAGCAATTTCAAATGCATCTTGACCAGAGACAGAGCAAGGTAACGGCCTTTAAGCCATCTTCTCTTACTTGATTTACTCTAAAATAGTTTTCTACCCTGGCCACATAAGACTCTCATCTCTCTGGGTGCATGACATCGAATTCAGACAGTCTCCTTATCTTCACCATTTTCTCCTTTGTAAGGAAGAGGTCTATCAGCCAGCTTACCTCCAGCGATGCTGTACTGGCAGGCAGGTGCTGAATTTAACGCCGTCTTCCTCTCTTCAGGACTCCTGGGTAAGCTTACAATTCTTCTTTATCTATTGTAAGGCATCCCACCTTCGTCGCCAGTGTTGAGTCCTTGGCTTAATGGCAAATGAGCACAGAACATCTCGTAATTCCAACAAGTCTTTATTTGCAGTCTCTTCCACTCCGTTACAGCTCTGAAGCTCGCAGGCCTCTCTGCTTCTTTTAACAATGTTCCCCGGGCAGAATGGCAACAATTAGGAGCGCTCCGCGCCTCGTGCATGTCTGCAAAGCTGGCGCCAGCCTGTCTGGTCCCGGCAGCTTGCAACTGCCTGGGACCATTGCAACGTCCCGAGCCTGCCTTTGCAGGCTCAGGACACAACAATATCTTTCTGGGTTAGTTGGTACAATGGTTTGGCTATCACAGAGTAGAGGGTAATCCATAGTCTGGCATATCCTATAATGCCTAGGAAAGATCTAAGTTGTTTTACATTGGTTGGCTGTCAGCGCTTGCAGTCTGCTTTCATGTAAGCATCTAGTTCCTTTATCTAGTACATAGCCTAAATAGTTTACAGTTTGCTTAGTCCATTGGATTTTCTTTCGGGACACTGTGTATTCCTTTTTGGCTAGATGGTTCAGCAATTCAATTGATTTTTCCTCCAACTATTGTTCACTTTCTGCTGCCAGTAGTAAATCATCTACATATTGTAAAAGCATTGTAGGTAAAGAATCAAAGTCTCTTAAATCTGCAGACAAAGCAGCAGCAAAGGCTGTAGGGCTGTTTTTATATCCTTGTGGTACTCTAGTCCATGTCAACTGGCAGTGACGTCCATTGTCTGGGTCTTTCCATTCAAAGGCAAAATAATCCTGGCACTCTGCCAAGGGGATGCAGAAAAAGGCATCCTTTAAGTCTATTACTGTGTACCACACTTGGCGATGTGATAGAGCAGCGGTTCTCAACCTATGGGTCGCGACCCCATTTGGGGTCGATCGACCATTTTTCGGGGGTCGCCAAAGGCAGCGATCCGCCATTTTCTCCCCTCCGGGGGCGGCGCTGCGCATGCGCCGTGCATGGGGGCGGCGGCACGCGTCCAGAGCGGCGCTGCGCATGCGTGCCGTGCATGGGGTGACGCTGTGCATGCGTACCGTGCATGGGGGCCGCACCGCGCATGCACGCGTGCATGGGGGCCGCGCCGCACTGTGCATGCGCATAACATTTGTGTGACGGGGGTCGCCGTCACACAAACGTTGAGAACCGCTGTGATAGAGTGATCAAAAGGGTGAAAGGATTGGCCACCAAAGGGTGCAAAGCTTGAATTCTAATGTTTGTCTCTCTAAGGTCCTGCACTAGTCTCCAAGTTCCATCAGGCTTTGGGACTGGAAAAATTGGGGTGGACCATGGAGACTGAGTTTCTTTGAGAATGCCAAAATTCTAAAAGGTTTGAATATGTTCTTTTATGCCAATACAAGCCTCCCTTTTTATTGGATACTGCTTTATTGAAACAGGGACTGCACCGGGCTTTAGTTTTGCCAAATGAGGAACAGCAAATTTAGCATATCCAGGCTAAGTCTTTTGATAATTGATATTATCTCTCATCTCTAACATGATGAGATAACATTTCATCCCAAATGTTCCACACTTTCATTAGCACCTGAACTTGTCCATATAGCAATCCACCCCACCATTTCCTTTCAGTAATTTAATTCAAATAATTTTTGGAAATTATATTTCTCCTTCTCTTCCTTATCTCTCTTCCCTGAGATCCCTATCAAGCATATTGTCTTCAGATGATATTAACTTTGTTCTCTTTGTCCTAAACTATTCTTATCAAGAAGATGGACTTCTGAAAGGATTCCATAGGACTCAGTGCGCACATAGGGAATGTTCTTGAAGGACACTACTGAGGCAGACAAGCATGTTTAAGTCAATTCCAAGAAACAAATTTGAGACAAAGTCTCTGACAAGCCCTTCTCTAATTCACACAAAGATAGAGTGAGGGAGGGGGAAAGCATATTTATACTTGCAAGATTCTGTTACTATAGCTGGTATAATAAAAGTAGTAATTTCTAGTTCTAGAAATATATAGCATTGATTTCTCAGTCAGGTTTCCCTTATAGGGCTGACTCTGTTAACCCACAACCCAAAACATTCCCCAAGCCTTGCTTTAGAACAATGCTTTTCAACCTTTTCACAGACTATACCACTTTTAGGATATGGCAATATTCAAGTACCCCCAGTCATCTAGCAAGGTGTCAAAAACTTGATGACAAAAAAAAGGAAAAAAGTGATAAAGTACAAGTAGTCCTTGACTTACAACAGTTTGCTTAGTGACTGTTTGAAGTTACAATGACACTGATAAAAGTGACTTATGAACATTTTTCACACTTATGACCATTGCAGCATCCCCAGGATCACGTGATTTACCCAGTACTGGGTTTACCAGGCACCTAATGCCGCTTGAGTCTAACAGTTAGATTTAAGTTAGTTTTCAGTCCTGAATCTTGAAAGCTCAGTTCTATGGGAATTGTAACTGGTGTAATCAGGCTACTTACCAGGGGTCATCATTGGAATCTGTGTCTATCAACCCCTGGCCATTGTCTGGTGGGATCAAAATTCCTTCCACCTGTTTTGGCGATGGGGTGAACTCAGTGACCTCCACTCCTTTCACCTCAGTTTCTCTGGCCCATGGCAATGCCTTCCCCACAGGGCTGGGGTTCGCTTTCTAAGTTGGTTTTGAATTCCGTTGCTCTGTGCCCTTCTCGGCTGCACTTAAAACATGCAGTCGAGCAAACCTGCCAAGCTGGTTGTTTGATTACTTCCCTCTTCTCTGGGGGCGATTTCTTCCATGGCTGAGCTGCTGGGTACTTGTTGCATATTTGACCAATCTCCATTCCTCTGCTAGGATATAGCAGTCATGGAGGGTTGTAGCCCCCCCCCCTTAAGACACAGGCATTGTACAGGTCATTGTTCAATCCGTCTTTGAAGCAGCTGATTAGGATGTCTTCTGGCCAGTCATTGAGCCAATATGCCAGATCACCAAACTCCTCAGTGTACTCAGCCACAACCCAGTGACCCTGCCTCAGTCTTGATGCGGTCTCTTGCTTTGTGGTTGACTAGGAGATCCTTGAACTGACGATAGAGTGCTGTCATTAACCAGCTGAAATTCCTCAGCTCAGGAGCATTCATGTTGTGGAGGTCAACCATCCAGCTCCCCGCTAGAAACACTGATGAGAAGTCCACCCTACCTATGGAAACTCAGTTGATACTTGACGAAGAGTTATCACTATTTTTCAAGCCCACATATTTCACAGCTTTCTTATTCTCAGAGGAAAAACAGAAACGGGAACACTTTTTTTTTGAGTTCCAGAAAGCAAAACAGAATAAGTAAATAAATTTGCTTTGACATTTCACTTCTAGCTCAGATGATTTACTCCTGCAAAGGAGCTTATCTTTCCATGTCTATATCTATGCTGATTTGAAGGGCGAAAGAAGGATGTGAAACAAATATCCAAATTATTGCTCCCTAAGGACAAATTCTTTAGACAAAATTGGCTGATCTATTAGCTGAATGCCACTATTAGGAAATAAAAGCTAGAAAGAGGTACCATTATTATAAAATTGATTACTTTGATTTTTAATGTTTTTTAAAGGGCATGCAGAGTTGTATGAAATACCTGCACAAATGTCAACAATGTCACTGTGGGAGATGAAAAGGTAAACAGTGAAGAAAGACAGGAGAAAGAAAATTTGCTCCAGGCTATTTTAAGATGAGATATGGTTCAGTGCGGATGTAAGGAAACACTCTGTACATGTTCAGTAATTCAGCTTTTAGTATTGGTTTTTATGTTCCAGAGCTGTGCTCTCCTTGTGATTTTAAAACTGTCCAGGGAAAGCTTACGTTAAACTAATTACCACACTCCTTGGACTGAAATCCAGCCACTAATATTACACTAATCTTGATGTTTGCTTTCTTTTAACTGTTGAATCCGTTTTGGCCATTTTTTAGTGAAAAGTGATACAAACATATTCGAACTAAGGAAAACGATACGGAGGAGGGGGCAACTGAGAGAGGGGGGGGGAGAGGGAGGGGGGGAGGGAGATTTACAAACACCCGCGCACATGCGCAGAACAACTTAAGCACTTCAGCGAGAAAAGAAGGCTGGCTGCAAGCCTAAAACGGATTCCCGAGTTCCGGGAGGCCTGAGAAGGTAGCGGAGTCATAAAAGTTGAGCAGAGAACCGTTTCTGCAGTCCAGAATCTGAGAATTGGCTCGCATCAGCGGTATTAGGGAAGGTTCGGGTTGTTTCAGGGGCTCGTTCTGAGCAGCAGCAACAACAAAACCCAGGCCACGCAGTCACCGCGTTTCGTTAGAACCACCTTTCGCTGCTGGACGGCCATAACGCTTGACAGCTGACGGCACCCTCGGTTCGTGTTTCCTTCCTACCTCTTTCTTGGGCCGGCCTTGTCCAGCCAAGTAGGGCGGTGTTTCACGGAGGCTTTTCCATTCGTTTACCTGGCTCTTTTTGTGTGTGTGTGTTGGCTTCTTTGAGCAAAATGGGGTGGGTGGACTAGAGAGCGTGGCTTTGCTTAATTTTGTTCGCCCTACCTGTTCCTGTTTCCAGACCAGCAGCCTCACAAATTGCGGTTGGAACCGCAGATAGGGAAACCTCAAAGCTGTACTTTCTGCCCACGAACGGTGCCCCAATAGTTCCTCTCATTTTCTAGAATAAGCTTCCTGGGTGGCTGGGGAGAGAATAAGAGCGCGCGAGGTGGAAAGTGATTGAAGATAAACATTTAGCGCCTGTTCAAGAAAACAAGCATTTAGGTTACGCATAAGAAAGAATTCTACCTCATTGATGCATGGGCTACTTTATATGGATTACTGTTTTTAAAAAGCTAAACAACCGTTAGATGACAGCATAGAGATACAGAAAATATTCTTTGTCTCTTTATTAGTGGTCATCCGGAAGTTTCAGAGCAGATAGGCTACATCAGGAGTAGGCAACCTTGGCTCTTTTATGACTCTGGGAATTGAAGTTCACAAGTCATAAAAGAGCCAAGGTTGCCTACCCCTGAGCTAGATGCAAATGCCTGGAATAAATAATCAAACAAAATTCACATAAAGTGTAATTGGCCGAATGTTTGCTTAATATCTCATATAAACCCAACCATTGTAATTTGTGGCTAGAGAGCCAGTTTGGTCTGGTGGCTAAGGCACCAGTTTAGAAACCAGTTGATGTGAGTAGTCACCTGAGGCATAACAGCCTACTGGGTGACTTCAGGCCAGGCACACTTGCAACCTAAACAATAGGAAGAAGAAACCCTAACAATATGTGGTTAATTTTGGTTGAAGGTATCTCTTATGAGTCATGCAGCTGAATTTTTCCAGAATAGTGGTGGTCTCAAACATATTTCTAGACAAATAGTAATAGGAACAAGAAAAAATAATTAAAATTCTGTTCCTCAGCATACATAATAATAGCTGGGAAGTGTGTAGTAAAAAATAGTCTGTCAGTGGGCTTGCATGTCATTTATTGTAATTGTTAATATAAAAGAGGAGTTGTTGCTTATTGGAAAAATACATTTCATATATAAAAATATATTTTAAGTACAATCCCATGAAAAACATTTTTTCAACTTGGAATCCTCCCAATATGTTAGACTACAACTCCTTTACTTACCAGGAAAGAAAAGGCAGCCTTATAATTCCAAGCTGAAAAGGACAGTAACTAGTTAGTGCTTCTGTTCAAGTGTTCATAATAAGAACAGAAAATGGAAAAGGTGAACACAGAGTCATATGTAAGTTACTTTTTATTTTCTGTCTGACTACAATATTTTTAAGAAATCAGATGCATTTATTGCTTTAGCATAATCCCAAAAGCTGCATGGTATAATACATTTATCTTGCATATATCTGCCACCGATGCAATAAAGGTGCACATAATTGCATCATGATAAATACAACAATCACAGTATCACCTTTGCATCCTCTTCCCACATACACAAATGCTTTGGAGAATGATTAAGTAGCACTTAAATAAATTTTGTTTTGGAAAATGAAGCCTTGAAATAAGGTGTTAAATAACCCCAGAAAATGTGCAGGTGTCATATCATCTAGCTGGAACAAAGATTTTCCCAAATGAAACAGCAATATTTCTGTTCTTGGAATATATCCCCAATTTAAACAATTAAAAAAAAAACAGAATAATTGGACAATGTCTTTTGTTTGGCAATCCTAGAAAGTCCTAAGTATTAAGAAAAGCCGAAATAGTGAACAGAAAATGGTAGTAATGTAAATAAAAGGCTTTCAACTCTATGACAAACAGCATGAAAATTACCATTAGTTTTAATATTTTATGTTGAATATCTCACATTGAATGTTTACTATTTTATGCTGTGTAACATTGAATATTTGGTAATATTTTTTCCAAAATTATATCCCTAACAGAAATATTTCTTGAGGAAAATATTTTGAACAAATAAAGTTTAAATAATGAATGATAGATGCGACCCGTTCTCTTTTGAATGTTATTATTTCTTTAAAAGCTTATTGCAGTTAATAGTGTTTTAAAGCAAGTATTTTGTGTGCTTTGTTTTGATTTTAGTTATATCCAGTTTATTTTGAAGATTGACTTCACAACTTGCTGCATTAAGCATGAATTACTCACGTTTCATTACTGCAGTAAGTGCAGCAAGACAAGCATCTCCAATAAGAGTTCTCAGTAAGTATATAGTTTGCAGTTCGTTCTTCAGACTTTCCTCAAGTTCTAGTTAGGGGTTATCATAGACACGATTATTAAGAAGAAGTGATATATGGAGGTGGGCACTTCTGGCATTTGTAAACTGTTGTGATTTTTTTCCCCACAAAATAGCTGATATAAGAGAATTTCCCATTCAGAAGAAAAGATGCCATGATATTTGTGACCACTTATTTCCAAGAAGACAAATTGGTGGGGGAAAAGAAAAATAACAATGCTTAGAAATTACATAGCAAACAAGTCTTGGAGCTTTTGTTCCAAAATTTGTTTCATATTAAGTGCAGAAATTCATTATTTCTGAAAATGTGGCATGGAAGATGGTACTTTGCACAATATCAGCTTTCTTGTTAAATAAATAAATTAGAAAGTGCAGAAAACTAGGCAGCTATTTTTTTTTAAATGTCCACATAGTAGGCAATGTACTAGCCTACCTTAAGCTGGGATACCATGTTGTATGATACTGTTATTTCCCCAAAATTTTTGGTGACTGGAGAATATGAGGTTTAAATATCAAAAAATGTTATGTATCAAGTTAATGAAGGCCTAAAGCAGTGGTTCTCAACCTTTTTAATGCCGCAATCCCAACCGGTCGTAAGTCGAGGACTACCCAACTGGTCATAAGTCGAGGACTACCCAACCGGTCGTAAGTCGAGGACTTTCCCTGCCCGGGAGCGCTGCGCATGCATGGTGCCGCCCCCTGCGCCGGCTGAGGCGTAGCTGGCAAGCGGCAGAGACGGCACAGGCCGACCACCAGCTGGGCCACCAGCTGGCCCAGCCCAAGGGAGGTAAGGCACCCGCCGGGCCCCACACGCACTAGCAACCCTCCCTGCACCCGCCGGCCTCCCACCTCCCACCCCTGGCCCTCTTTTACTTACATTTTAGTTGCTCAGCAGGGAGGGGTGGAAACTTCCAGACAGCTCGCCTTCGCTGCAGACAACTTGCAGCACCGTTTGCAGAATGGGACTTTTGGCGGGCTCAGCAGGGCAGAGACAGCCTGGACAATTCCTATTGGCTTTCGAAAGCCAATAGAATTAGATTCTATTCAAGAGAGTCTATTCTATTGGCTTTCAAAAGCCAATAGAATAAAAGGGAGTAGCACAGCCAAGGAAAAGGGGAAAAAATGGCAGACTGCATTGTTTGGCGACCCCCGTGAAATGGTCGTTCGACCCCAAATGGGGTCCCGACCCACAGGTTGAGAACCACTGGCCTAAAGTTTATGTCTTCAATATTGTATAAGGCAGGGGTAGGCAACCCAAACACTTAAAGAGCCATTTGGACCCGTTTCCCACCAAAAACAAAACACCGGGAGCCGCAAAACCATTCTGATATCTAAAATGAAGATAACACTGCATATATCCTTTTTTACCTTTATTATAGGTGTGTATGTGTTTGTGTGTGTGTGTGTGTGTGTATATATATATGTATATGTATATGTATGTATGTATATATATATATATACATACACACACAGGTAAAAAAAGGATATATGCAGTGTTATCTTCATTTTAGATGTCAAAAGGGTCTCTCTCTCTCTCTCTCTCCCTTTCTATCTGCCCTTGGTCTGCCACTCCTCTTCCCCCGCTCTCTTTCTTTCTCTCTCTCTCTTTCCTCTCTCTCTCTCTCTCTCTCTCTCTCTCTCTCTCTCTCTCTCTCTCTCTCCCTCTCTCTCTCTTTCTCTCTCTCTCTTTCTCCCCCCCTCTCTTATCTGCTGCTCACCTGACAAGCTTCAGGCTGTTGTCCAACAAGATCAGGGGTAGGCAACCTCGTCTCTTTTATGACTCATGGACTTCAACTCCCAGAATTCCTGAGTCAGCCTAGCTGGGCTAGCTAGCTCTCTCCTGCCCTTCCTGCTTCCTGCAGAGACGCAGCAAAGGGAGGAGCTCCGCCCAGTAAGCTTTTCAGCTCCTCGGAGAACACTGTGAGTGCACTCTCTTTTACACACACACACACACACAGAGAGAGAGAGAGAGAGAGAAGCAGGGAAGCGCAATTCCTCTCTCTGTCTCTGTCTCTCTGCAAAGGCAGAGGAGGCTGGGAGCCGCAGGGGAAGGCTCAAAGAGCCGCATGCGGCTCCGGAGCCGCAGGTTGCCGACATGTGGCATAAGGCTACCAGATTTGGCAAAAATTTAGATGACACCTAGGGGGCAGCAAAGGGTTGTTATTTTTGTTGCTATCTCATAATAGTTGATTTCTGCAACTCAGACTCATAGCACTAATCGTATCAGGTATGCTCTAAGTTTTGTTTTTATTATTCTTTTATTCTAGCTGAATTGATGCAGCAATCTCCCCCATCATTAATTTCTCTGGCTGGAGGAGCACCAAATTCCAACATGTTTCCTTTCAGAACTGCTACCATTATCATTAAAGATGAAACAAGAGTTGAAATCAAGGAAGAGCTGATGAAGAGAGCTCTCCAGTATTCTGCTTCAGCAGGGTATTTTAATGGCAGATAAAAGTTGTGATTTTGAAGCCACAAACTCCATAAAAAAACTTCCAAATGTGGGGGCAGGACAGATAGTCTCCTTTATCTACTTCAGAGCTATCTTTCTATTGTTGACCTCCTTGAAAATGTTTAATGTATGTAATATAAGGAAATAGGGCAAGAATGGATACTTTTCTTGTCCAGAAAGCAGCAGATTGTCTTGACAAAACTTGTCCCTACTTGACAAAACTGCATTCTCCTTGGAGCAGCAATCCACAACTTGGGGAATCCTTCTAAACCAAAGTGGAAAATGTAGCTATGATGGTATTTGCCCACCTTTAGCTAGTACAACAGTTGCAGATGTCTTTAGAGTGGGAAATTTTAATGACAATCATTAGAATTAGAATACTTTATTTGGCCAAGTGTGATTAGACACACAGGGAATTTGTCTCCAGTGCAGAAGCTCTGTGTACATGCAAAGCAACAGAGTAATTATAATCATCATCATCATAATACAAATAAGAAGGAGTAGTTAAAAAGATAAGATAATAATGTTATAGCCATACAACATGGATAAATGTACATAGACTACTGTGAGAATTAGGTGTTCAGCAGAGTGATGGCACAAGGGAAGAAACTGTCCCTGTGTCTAGTTTTGGAATGCAGTACTCTATAGCGGTGTCCTGACCTTGCAATATACAGATGTTCTATGGAAGATAGGCTGGTTGCAGTTGTTCTTTCTGCAGTTCTAGCTATCTGTTTGAGTCTGTACCCATCCTGTTTGGTTGCTATACCAAACCAGACAGTTATAAAAGTACAAATGACGAACTCAGTAATTCCTCTGTAAAACTGTATCAATAGCTTCTGCAACAGTCTGAACTTCCTAAGCTGATACAGGAAGAACATTCTTTGTTGTGCTTTTTTAATAATGGTTCTAATGTTGGGTGTCCATTTCATATCCTGGGAGATTATAAAACCCCCAAACCTGAAGGATTCTACTGCTGATAGTGTGCTCTCGAATATAGTAACAGATGGTAGAATAAGGGCTCCTCCTAAAATACACTCTCATTCATTCTCTTGTTAATTCAAACATGAACAGTTGCAACCTATTCTGATTGCATTTGCTCTTGAAGATTATTCGGATGATACAAACGCAATGGCCTATATCAGTGGCGGTGAACCTATGGCACGGGTGCCAGAGGCGGCACTCAGAGCCCTCTCTGTGGGCACGCACACACGCCGTCGCCCCAGTCCTAGGCCTTCAGCTGGGTTTTATAAAACTTTTTCGCTTTAGGCCTCCACCGCCGTGTGCAAAAAAAAAAAAAAGGTTCAATCAGGCAATTTCAACTTCTCGCGGAGAAAAAAAAGGTCTTGCAAAGTTGGAATTGATTGATTGAACTTTTTAGTCCCATCCAGTCTGCCATTACCACTGCAGCCACACCCACCCAATGGGCCACACCCAGCCCATGGGCCACACCCACCCAGCACTCGATGATGCATAAGTGGGTTTTGGGTTGCAGTTTGGGCACTCAGTCTCTAAAAGTTTCGCCATCACTGGCCGATATGGTAGCAGGTGAAAATCACTGTGGCAGAGCTACACCAATATTACAGAAGTTGCATTAATTAGGATTACTTAGGTTCAGGATATATATAGGGCCATCTCCCCCAGAAGCAATCTACCCATCCTATTTGATCAGTCCTGAAGAAGATGCTCTGGCTTCTTCCTAAACAAATCAGGGCAGGATGGCTACAAAGGGCTTCAAGACTTTTTGAATCTGTCCCAATAGAACATTCTTCTGAAATCCACAATGCCCCTATAGACTTATTTTTTTCAAAGAGCAACTAAGACTTGACTCTTTCAAAGAATATTTGGAAATTAAGAGATGCAGCTTGGATTGTTTTTCACCTTCAGATTTATTGTTTAACTACCACTGAAATAGCGGTAAAGAAGGTAATGTTAATGACAACTGCAAGAGTAAGTCTAAGCTAGGATGTGTTTTACGTACAGCAGCTAATGCTGGTGGTACATCAGAGTGGTTTAACCAAGATCTAAAGGAAGATACTTGTTCATATTAGTGATTGCATAATAAAAGAATTAAAAGATAGATTAGATTTGTCTAAGAAATGCAAAAAGAATGAAAATCTTATGAAGAAGTGCACGATACACCTTACTAATGTAATCATATTTAGCATTCCAGAACTGTTGTCCTGGTTGAAGGATTTGCAGAAGACTGTCCATAACCCTCCAACAGTTGACTACAGTCCTCAGGAAGGACAAATGGAAATGTGTATCACTACTGGAAGCCAAGAAGGGCTATGTAAAGTAAGAAAAATGAACTATAATATACAGTGAGCATAATTATATAACTACTGTGAATCTTTAAAAATCTTTAAAAAGCTGCAGAGGCTTTCAGATATGTAGGATTTGTAGGGATTATGTGAGTCTAATCCTGAACATTTGGGGGGGGGCATCAAATTGCTTATCTTTGCAGATAGCTTGTCCTTAGTTCCAGGTTTTTCTATTTTCTTTTCTCTATTAAAAGTATCACCAGTATTTGCTATAAACTTTGCAAACATATTTCTGTTTAATCTCTGCCTTCTCAGCTCACATATTAATGAAAGCAGTAGTAAGAAGCAACACTTTGGTAAAGCCATTGTAGATCCTATTTATTTGCAATAGTGGTGAATATCTGCAGCTTGAGTGGAGGATGAAGGTGAAGGTTTGTTCTCCGAGCTTGTGGGTTGGTTTCCAAACATTTCGTTACCAGGCTAGGTAACATCTTCACTGGAGTTTAGGGGATGTTAGTATTCTTTTTTTATATATATAATGTTTTATAGAGAATAAAATATAGAATAGTAAAACAAACAAAATTAAAACAAATACGTTCAATTCTAACAACAAAAGAAAAAAATAGTGTACAAAAAAGGAGGAAAAAGTGGTCAACTAAATTTAATATTTAATATGTTGGATCCACCCAGGCTGTGTGCTGAAAGAAAAGAAAAAGAATCAATTCTCCACCCCTTTTACATACATACATACATACATAAGAAAAAAGAAGAAAAAGCAGTCAACAGATTGAGCTAAACATTACACTAATCTTCAAATCTCTCTGTTAACCATATGTTGTTATATTTAACACATAGAAAGTCCACAAACGGTTTCCAGTCTCTTATTTAGCTCTCTAGTTATTATCTCTAATCAAAGCAGTTTCCAAATCAGTTTATTACAGCCATATGGCCAGAAACACTAAAATATCCAATTGTAGGCTATTTACATATCTACATATATAAACATGCACTGAGCATGATCAAATGATGAATAAGAACACTTATAATAAAATTAATTTTTAAAAAATTATTTAAAAGATCTAAAAATAATATTTTCAAATGTATTTATCTTATTTAGTTTTTGATGAATCCCCAGTGGTACTGCGCAGAATCTAGCCACCTACACCATAATCACAGCCTGTTCATCCTTAAGCAGCCACTGGAAATAAGTATGTCAGAACAGCGAGGATACTTATCAATTATTGGAAGGATATGGTCTTTTTGAATATCTATATAGAAAGAACATCAAGGGATTATGTGTCCACCTCTCCTGAGCCACAGGAGCAGAGTCTTTCAGTGGTATCTTTTAGACTTGCTGTACAGGACGGCTGATGGACGCGCATGGCACCTTGCACGCGAAAATGCTTTTCGGTGGTTTGCTTATTCCAACTGGCTAAGATAACTGTCAAGAATAACAACATATTTAATGGAGTCTGGAGCCAGAAACAGCGGGGCTATCCCTAAGTCCACTTAATCAAAGCAGTTGATTTCGCCATCTCTGCTAATTCAGTCAATTTCAAAATCCATTGTTCAACAGTCGGCATCTCTTTTTCTTTTCAGTGGCAAGTACAATCCTCGCAGGTGTCACCATGTGAAAGAATGGCATCCCGAATTGTTTTTCAATTGTTTTGTCCATCTTACTAAAAGAAAAGCTTCAGGTTTCATTAATATGTGTATCGTAAATATTTTTTCCATTGTCATTGTTTTCACATATTTGCAAGACCATGACATGATGAACCTGGATTTGGACTACATTTCCAATATTTATTAGAAATCCCTTTATACATTTCCACTAGTCCAGGGCTTTTCAACCGGTGGTACGCGTACCACTTGTGGTACATTAATGAGTGGCAGGTGGTACACAGTGTAGTGGGGGAGGGAAAGAGCCAGCACAGGCAAGGACTTACAGTGAGAGAGTCCTCTGGAGCGCAAAGGCCCCAGGCTCACTTCTGGCTCACCCTCCCCCATGAGAAAGGAGGAGGGGGTGGAGACAGGAGAGGCTATAAAAGGAGACAGTTTGGGCAGGAGAGGGAGAGAGAAAAAGCAGCAGCCTTGGGAGGAGGTGGAGTTAGCTGCACCGAAGGGGAAGAAGAGGAGGAGGAGGAGGAGAGGGGGGATCAAGCAGGCTGCCATGAGCCGATCTACAGCTACTGTGGCAGCTGCCTGTGCTGGCAGCAGCAAACAGGCAAGAAATGCAGCGGAGGAGGGGTCACCCTCCAAGAGGAATGAAAAAAGGCAGCAATGGCTGGAGGTGAGGCATGAGGGAGGGAGATGGAGAGTGGAAGGATTCTTATGTGCTTTTGTGACTTTGAAGTTCTGGGATTTGTGCAATGTGGGCTTTGTGTTCTTAATGAGTGTTTGGCAATTTCTGTTTGGCTGATGTTTCATGTTAGTTTCTATTGCTCTGCTGTTGTTAGCTTTAAGTTTTGCTGCAAGGGATTTTGAAGTATTTTTCTCCTGAATGGATTTTGCCTGTATCATTCCTTTACTTATGAATGGAGCCATTTGGAGAGGCTGCCTTAGCCTGCAGCCAGTACTTACATTTTTTTTCTTCCTTAAGTGCCGGCTGTGCTCCTTACTTTCCTTTCTAGCCAGTAGCTAATTCTTAAAGGGGAATGTGCCTTTTTAAGCTAGTTCACTCAGCAGCTTGTCTTTTCTGTCTCTGGAGGCCTTTCCTTGTTTGATCAATATATGGAAGAGAGAAAATATGGGAGGGATTTCAAATTCTTCCTTCAGAAGGTGATGGGAATGAGAAAAAGGGAGGCTGGGAAGGGAGGGAGGAAAGGAAGTCCCTCCTTAGCACTTGGCCACCAGCAGCTCTGCCATTGACTTTGCTTGTCAAAAGGTTGCAGAAGGGGATCACATGACCCTGGAACACTGTGACCATTATAAATATGAATCAGTTGCCAAGCATCCAAATATAAATCACATGACCCTGTATGAAAAATGGTCATAAGTCATTTCAGTGCAATTGCAACTTTGAACAGATTTTTTTTTTTTTTTGGTCATCAAGTTTTTGACACCTTGCTAGGTGGTACTCGAATATTGCCATATCTTAAAAGTGGTACAATCAGTAAAAAGGTTGAAAAACCCTGCGCTAGTCTATCTGGGGTCAATACATCATTTTATAAAAGTTTTCTTTCAAACTATAATTTAATGTAAATTTAGTTCCTTTGTCCATACATTCTCCCATTTATCTAGCATCATATTTTTGCCCATTTTTATCATACACTCTTTAACATATTCATCTTCTAGATTCATTTTGAATAGCATTTTATATACTTTAGAAATCAAATGGGCTCCCCAACCATCGGTCTGTGGACCGGTACCAGGCTGCAGCAAGCCAGCAACTGGTCCGCACAAACAAGCAAAGCCCCATCCATTGGATGTAGGCAGCACACAAAACTATGCATTCTCCGGTCTGTGGAAAAACCTCCACGGAACCGGTCTCCGGTGCCCAAAGGTTTGGGGACCTCTGCTCAACAGCATAAATGAATGGCCAATTCAGATTTTGTTCCTGTGAAAACAAAACTTTTTTTATCAAGTTTAAATCTTTCACAAATTCTATAATAATTAAACCAATCACAGACACATCTTTCACTTACTTCTTGTTCTCTTGTCTTTATCTTAAATCCCTCTTTTTCAAATATCAATAAGTCTCAGTATGTCATCCATTTACATTCCGAAATCATCTCTGTTCTGTGTAGTGCTTCAGGAGGTGATAGCCAGAGTGGTACTTTATCAGCTAATCTTCTTTTATACTTCCACCATACGCATGTAATCAATTGCCTAATAACATGAATCTTAAAGCCAGAATTAACTTTTCTTTGTCTTTCTACAGATAGGCATGCTGTCCAAATCTCAAATCAAAACCTTCGAGGTCTAACAGCCTTGAATTTTTTAAAATTATCCAATCTTTTAACCATACCAGACAATAAGCATCATAATATAATCTAAGATCCGGCAAATCCAGACCTCCTCTTCTAGCAGCTTGTCTAACCAGCTTATGTAATAATGGGAATGACTCAGCAGGGTCTATGTCTCTTTAAGAGCTTTTGTATAAAGGGAAGGCTCCGCTAATGTATTCTCTCTCTTCCGTTTCCTGCTGTAACTGGTTTATTGGATCCTGCTGTATTAGTACATATATGTATATTGTTCCTGGTGTATGATATTGCAGATAGTGTAAGATAAACCACCATTTACTATAGCCCACTGTTTACTGTGTTTACTCCTGGGTTATCTCGTGCAATAAGACTGTGCATGCTCTGACATGTTAGGGGCCCAGAGAGAGGAGAAACCCAGTGAGAGCTTGACCCAGAGCCAGAGGAGTTAGGGCTTGTGGTTTGTTGTGGTTTGTGGTGGTAACAGGCAACCTGGACTCTGTCAGTGTAATGGGAGGAGGTTTCGTAGTATCTCATCTGAATGAGACAAACTACCTCTCCTGGTGTTTGAAAATGGAGATGTACCTGCGAAGGGAGGAGTTGTGGATGATAATTGCTGATCCACCTGGAGCCCTGGATAATGGAGACCAGAGAAAGAATGAGAAAGCATTGGCCAGCATAATCCTGAGTTTGGAGGATAGCCAGCTGATACATATGAGAGGTCTCCAGTCTGTTAAAGAGTGCTGGGAAGTTTTGCGCAGTGCATACGTGAGAGAGACTGCGAGCAGCAAAGTAATGCTGACAAGAAAGCTATATAAGGCCAGGTGAAACCAGGAGAGAGCATGTCTACTCATTTGCAGTCTATGAGAAAGACATTCCTAAAGTTAGAAGAAAGAGGAATGACTTTTACTGAGGAGTAAGGAGTATGTGGTGCTCAGTTCATTGGACACTTCATGGGATGTACTAGTGACCAGTTTAGAGTCCATGCAAGAGAGTTATTTGACTGGCCATGAGTTATTTGACTGGCTGGTTGCTGGAGGAGGAACAGAAATGGCAGCAGGGAGGGGATGACAATGCACAGACCAGGCCTAAAACTGCAACATCCAAAGATGCC